GAAGCCCGACACTTGCTCCATTAAAAAACATCCGGAAAATTCTTAGGTCGAAAACCCCTAGTAGAAAATGACCTAGATCACAGAGTCGGATCTGCGGTCGAAATTCCAACGGACCTGATGGGACCATTGTCCTCCTAACTATTTGGTTATAGGGATTCAAGTTTCTATCCGTCAAATATGTCTGTTTCTTTTTCATTCACTTGTTCTCCTATGAAAAAAAAGCGCCAATCAGGGACAGCTGTACATACACCCATTGAAATTAGATTTAATAATGAGTCCCCCTAAAGAAGCATAGTGAGCATTAATAATGATTTAATAATGATTTGTAATACTTTTTTTTTTTTTTCATATTTTTTACATTATGGTAAATATTAAAAATTGTTTTGGTCATTAATACTCACTTTTGAAATCTATTTTTTCATTAATTTCCAACAAATGCATTTTGTTTTAATAATTAAATATATGTTTTTCATATTTTAGCACTTTTTTTTTGCATCGTTTTTATTTTTTTCAACAATTTTTTAACTACCCTGGACTTGCACTGTTAGAACGATTGAATTGGCTATTTTACTGGTTAAGCTGGTTAAAACGCTTCCGGGCTCATGTCCGATTAACCATCCCGGTTCGATTTTGCGAACACTACCTGAAACCCTCATGACCCCTATACCCTAGATACCGTAGGTGATCAACATTCCTCATTCCTATGCAAATTCAGAGCAAACCCTAGGAGAAGAAAATCCTTCTTAGGTCAATCAAAGCCCAAGAAGAAAATTCCTAGGCAACGCTTTCTCGAGAGTTCAATACAATCTGTTTCATCAAAACTCAAAGATGAAGGCGCAAAGACTCACATCTTCCATTTGGGCCCAACCTCGGGTGTCTGGGGCCTGGATTCCAAGTATTTATGAATGTTTTATTCTCTATTCTTTATTTTCCTTTACTGTTTGTTGTCCTTGGCAATAATATTTCATAATCAATTTTCGTGTTTCCATATGTTTCTAAAAAAATTTATTTTCAGTTTTTGTATAGATCTAAGCCGGCTATGTGGATGATACATGAGAATCTGCCTCTTGAGGCTGACTTTTTCATAAATCGTAATTTCACATTACCTACATCTTTACCAATTTCTTTAAATAACAAGTTTGGATACATATCAAGATGGGACACACCTCCAGTAAATTTTCATCTCAGATTAGCATCTAAACAATAGGTATTTGAAAACAATTCAAAAGATAAAGTGTTAAATTGTTCATCTCTCATGGGCAATTTGATAAATTTTTTAACATTTTGGAGGCAGAATAAAAAAAATGGGATTACATACCCTACAATACTGTTTAAACTTTTGGTACAATAAGGTCCCATTCAGTTTTTTTGGATTGGTTGTGAGATGTGGAATTGGACGGTTAGGTGAAAATTGTATATTACTATTTTCATAAAAAAAATGTATATTACCATTTTGCATGACTAATAGTGAGCAATGATTAAAAAAGTGAATGCGTGACAAAACCTCCTCCCTAAAATCAAAATTTTTTTTCAAACTTTGGTAGACGTCAATATCACGGACGTGAATAGATATGAGCAATGGAACAAAATTATTATTGATAACAAAGCATGGGTCCCACTTATTTCCTCTGAATCAGGAGAAGCCAAACACCCATTCATTTTAATCTTAATTTTAATTGGAACTTTTCTTCCTAATCCTTTTCAACAACCTTTTAGCAATACCCCACATTTCCATGTAGAACCCGATTCCAAGAACCTGATCCCTCATCCAAATAATTTGAAGGCTTGATATTTAGAAAAAGTTTTGGAGCTCCAAGTTTCCAACTTTTTTCTCTTTTGGGTCTAGTTTTGGTGTCGGGATTCTTTTAAATAGAGTGGATTCTCGCACTCACATGAGCATGAAATCTTTTACCTAGTCTTAATCATGGACCTAATTTAAATTGGGTTAACTAATCTCAAAGGGCTAAATATGTTGAAATTTGCTGATTTGATAAGGAAATATGCTCATTCAAACCAAAACTCAATGGGGACCTACCTTGCTCACAATCGAAACTAGGAATCAGTCTGATTTTGACAGATTCATCTGGCTTTATTACGGAACTGAGTGGGTTTGTGAGGGAACCTGACGATCTGGATCGAGAGAATCTCTTGATTCCCACTTATTTTACTTTTTATTACTAATTTAAATTTTTTTTATTTTTAAAATAAAAATTATTGTTAAGTTTTTTTTGGGACTGATTCTCACGCTAGAGAATCACTTTGATTCACGATCCGGATTGCCTGTCTATTGATCTAATTTTCAGAAGGCCGATTCCGCCTGATCGTGTTATCAATGGCGCATGTTAGTCCAAGGGCCTCATTTCCATTATGAGTGTTTTTTTTTTTTGGATAAATATGAAGCCACTCTACTCTTCAACGCTTGGATCAATATAATCACTAGGATTAACAAGAGTGGAGTTCTATTAATTGTGAAGGTGGATTGGACCTTCGAAAGGGGATGCATGGTAACTTTGGTCCCTAAATCGGCATCGCATCAAAGTTTATTATGCCAATTTTCCCATCTGAATGAACCAAGTCTGCAACTGATTCGTTTTTTAAAAGGGAAATCATTTAATGGGGTTGTAGGCCCCTTGTAAGATTATTAAAAAGGTCAAATTATTCTAATTAATATTTGAGGGGTTATTTTTTTGTATTTCCATTTCACTTTGGTGTGTCCTAAAAAAATAAAATTTTTAAATAAAATTTCTAAATTGTCTTTATTCTATAGAAGTAATTTGACCGCAAGAGGTTCCAATACAATGATAAAAATCCCTTAATTATTCCTCATTAAAAAAAAAAAAATATAAGTGATGATGAAAAACTGCGGGTATTTTTATCATTTGATGCATGCAAGGCATTTAATGCCAAATGATAAAAATAACCTTAGTTTTTCCTCCTTTTTTTTAATTTGTAAAGAGGACAAATCAAGGGCAATTTTATTATTTGGTTGGGCTTTTGGGGTCAATTTACCGAAATGCCCTAAATAATTCTATTCCTCATGCCAATGCAAAATAAGTGCAATTTTGAAAAGTTTCTATTTTTAGGAAGATATATCTAAGTGAAATGAAAAAAAAGAATAAGTACTAATAGTTTTATCCTCTTAAATAATATTTTATATTTTTTAAAACAAAGCTAAAAAATGTGTTGGGATGATTCTTTCTCCACGAGATGAAGGCCAATTTCATTACGCATACCTATTTTTCTAATTAACCACCGAGGGTTCTTAATTTTGCTACGCAAAACAGCTAGATTCGTATTACGGAGTTGACTTACTACGGCGCCCATAGGGGAGGCAATGGACCCGACTAGACATGAAAACTGACGGGTATATCTGATCTCGTATTTGGATCCAACTATACCCGATTGGTACCCGTAGCCATACGGTATGTGATGGTAATCATGTGCCTTTAGGCACGCGTTAGATGTTCATATTGTCGTAATATGTATAATATTTATAGTCATTGGCAAAAAACAAAAAAACAGCTCACAGAAGTGTTTGCAAAATCGAACCGGAATCGTTAACTGAACATGGTGCAAGAAGCAGTTTAACTGGCCTAACTGGTAAACCGGCCGATTCAACCGTTCTAACCGGGCAAGTCTTGGGCGGCCAAAAAATTGTTGAAAAAAATATAAAAGATGAAAAAAAATAAAAAATAAAAATCATATAAAGAATGATTAAAACAAAAATGAAAAATGAAGTTGAAAATTAATGAAAAATGAAGTTAAAAATTAATGAAAAATGGATTTTAAAAATAAGTATTAATGACCAAAACAATTTTTAATATTTACCATAATGTAAAAAATATAAAAAAATGTATTACAAATCAAATTCCTTATTTTTTAGATTTTATATACATTTCTTTGAATTATTATTTTTAAAACACTGGTTGATCACCAAAAGCACCCGAAACCGAGACCGGCAAGGGGCGGGTTCCGATCTAACCGAGCGGTTACCCATTACATAGGGCCGTTTTCAAACAATGACTCACAGTCATAGGGTATATGATGGTAAAAAACAAAAGGCAAAATAATAATAATAATAATAATAGTTCATAGTCTTAGGTTAGCAATAGATTCGATTAGACCCGGGACCCGACAGGTTTAGGCATGGGTCCAAATTTTGGACCCAAATACTTTTTGGGTCAGGGCCTGCGTCTGACTGGCCCAGACCCCTTGTCACCCTTACTTTTACCCAGGGACCTTTCTAAAACTAAAGGATGGACAGGATTTTTTCCTGGTTCATGATCATTGTAGATTTTTTTAATTATTTAACATCTGCTACACGAATTCTAGTTCACCATTCTACTCTATTAAGGACCTAGATCCGAAAATATAATATAGGACCCAAACTCAATTGGGCACAGACCCGGACCTGAATGATATTGCGGTCTAAGATTTGAACCTAGACCCTATCAGTCATGTCCAATTTTTAGACCTATACCCAGACCTAGGTGGTATCTACCCTTTGTGTTCCAAGTTGGGTCTAGGTTCATTGAAACCTCTAATAATAGTAGTATGCCGTCCACTCTTGTTAAAATCATGGAAGAAGGAAGTATTAATGCAACAGTTGTATCATAGTATAATGCAATGACACTTCTAAAAAACCATGTTTGTGGTATTTGTATGACTTCAAATTTTTCACACACACACTCTTCATCTCAATAATCAATCGGCCCAAAAAGAAGTTCAATTTGAACCTTAGACATGGTCAAAATGAGTCACCCCAAAAAACGAATCTAGACCATTCATTTTGTGAATTTCAAGATCTTAGTTTTTATGAACTCAAAATCATTTTTTTCTGTTTTAACATTGTTCAATCTAATGATAATAACGCCATCCAAAAAAATTGAAAATGAAAAAATCCTTTTAAAACCTAGATCTAAGCATCTCACCAGAATAACCGGTCTATGTTAATTGGGCTTAAAAAAAATATTTATAGGTTGTGTTTTTAATATTTTTTATTTTTATTTTTTATTGTTCATCAAAATGAAAAACAATATATATTTCAAAATTTTTGAATCAAACAACTCGCCTGATATTATAAGGTCATCACATCTTAGTACAACCATCAATCATTGCTCAATACTGAAATCATACGATTATTTTACGTAATCAATGACGCGATGAGGAAAAAGACGAAATGAGGTTCAGATTCAGATTCGGCGAATGACACTCGCATAAAATGGAGCCCATTAATTGATTCCCGTACAATAAATAAGCAAAAATACAATTGGAGGGTTCAGAAATATTTTGGCATTGGGCACAACCACATCGTTTCCTCGGCACTCCGCTTCCATGGCGGAGCCAAGCCTGAGCTCCCCTCTGCTCATCCATGGCGCCTCACCCTCCAAATCCTGGGCGTGCAGGGTAGCTTTCGCACTCATAGGTGAGTCTCTCCTCTCCTCTCCCTTTTTCTCTCTCTCTCTCTCTCTCTTATCATTCCTCGTCCTTTTCTCTCTCTCTCTCTCTCTCTTA